TTTGTTTACTGTTCAACATACAAGAAGTTGTATTGTCAAATGAATTTTGACAACTATTAAGCCATTCTTCAACAAATTATTTATGTTTAATCCTGCAGCATAGCAAATATTAAAAAAAATTGTAGTTCGGAGAATTTAACAAAAGCACGTTTATGTCCATCAGATAACACTTTGTCCATATAAATACACAAAATACCGCATAATAATTGCTGAATATAGCCTAAATTTTAATTAAGATGCTTGGATTTCAGAAGAAGCATTGCCACTTATACTGGGTGATTTCCATATTCCAGTGACTTAAGATAGTCCAGTTACCAAAATCTACAAACTTTTGTTTTTCAAGAAAAAAGTGATGGCTTAACTTGGATTTTCTAAAGGTTTGGTTCATCAAAGATTAGGCGAATAAGAGCAATAATCACTGGTAATTCAATTTTGCAAATACTATCCACTTAGAAAATCTTCTATAAAGTCATCCTAAGCCTTAGGCAGATGCTTCTTGTGCGCTTTGTCATAAATAACAAAATCTCTAAAAGTTAAGGAATAAAAAGGTTTTGCTAGCAATAATGACTGACGCTCCTCCTACCTGACCATCACAAAATAAACTGATTGTTTTTCTTTAAACTTAAGAATAATCATGTTTCGTAAGCGTCACGTGTGTTTCGTAGGAGAGCGTTAACACCATGGTTTAATTTGTTTAATTTTGGTTCATGGTTTAATTTTTCCAACTATAATAAGCAGAACTTCGTTGCTAGGCAACTGGACTTTGATATTGAGGTACGCGCGAGTAACACGTGCTTACAAAAGTATTGATAACATTACTTAGAAAAATAGTAATCGTAAAACATAGTTAGATATATTATAATGGCTTAAAGATTGAACACAGTCCCAACACGGACACGGATGCCGAAGTTTACGTATTTTGGTGAAGCACAAGACTGAAGTCTGAGTGACTGTTCAGGGGAAAAACTCGTCTCTCCCCGTCAGCCCGTACAGGTTTACTTTCTTTGTTTACTGTTTCGCCAATTGGCGGTTTTCTCTAAAGTTTTTGAGTTTGTATCGCCTGTTTGGCGCTGGCGCTGCAATATCATGGAAACTGGTATAAGAGTTTTGCTTAAATCTTTTAACTTTTCAACATTATGCCCAAATGACATAAGATCCTACCAATCATGGCGAAGCAAACAAGCTGAAGGCACGTAGACACGTTTATGCACACGCAAATTTACTTTCCTGATAGTCTTCCGACTGGCTACGACTTAAAGCTCGTGTTTAATTTGATACTTTGATACGAACGTGATTATACAGGGTTTCTACTGCGGCAGCAGTACTTCCCGGTAACCTGAGATATTTCCACAATGGGCATGGTGATGAGGTTTACATGAGTAGATCCCAAGATGGGATATCAGCATTCAAAAGAAAGAAAAAGACCCCCAAAACAAGACTTGGGGAAGTGAAGAATCTGCTGGAGATCTTGGAGCAGACTAGTACTTCTAAAAGTCGATTATCCACTGAATATCGAACTGACGATCTGCGGATCTGTAGGTCAATGCTCTATCCGTTCGGTACTCTATCGATGCTCGATGCTTGTGAAAATATGAAGTGACTAAGAAGCAGATCAGGAACTTATGTGGAGAAAGCGTCCAAAGTCCGACGTGGGATGAGATAGTTTTAGCTGTTTTGACTTAACATATTAAAGACATGAGCTGTGAAGGGCCGAGCAAAGTAGTCGTCATCGATTATTACATAGCACGTCAGAAAAATCAGCAAAGTGGTTATGGATGGCTTTTTTGATAGAAACTTTCGTTCAGTTTGTTGAGGTGGGTCTTAACGTAGTCGATGTTCAGATCTCTATGAAGATTTTTGTTCCTGATGAAGTAAGGTTCTCCAGTAATTAGTTGTAAAAATTTATTTTGGATGGTTTGCAGTTTTTAAATTTCGTTGCGTTTTGCATTTACCCAGACAGGCGAGGCATACGAAAAGATGGGACGGATGATGGTGGGCGAGTGTAAATGAAGCTAATGACAATTATATGCCTTATGATTATGGCAGCTGCGATGTTTAAGCTCTTTTCTGAACGTTTTCTAGCAGCGCCGTCTAGTGAGTATTATCATAGCAAAATGCTTTTCTAATAAAAATTTTTAAAAAATCAATAAATTTTAACACTTCTGTATTGACGATTACGATGCTGTTTGAAATTACTGAAGTAGTCATTTTTTTTTAAAAAATTTTTATTGACTTCAGGTGTGCAACTTCTTCAAGGTACAAAATCAGTATGCAAGTTACTTTTTTCTTTTCTTTTTTTAGGAAAGGTGCACTTTATGTTTTATCATTTTAGCTAGTGCTTTCAGATTTGATTCACTAAAAAAAATATTTAAATTCAATATCAAAACAGCGGTACCTCAGTAATACATTTTATTTACAACTGAAATTTAAAAAAGGAATAGTTCTTAAAAACAACATTCTATTTACAGCAAGGATTTCGTAAAATATAAAAAAAGTAAACAAATAAACACAGTGTTGTTTAGTATTCTAAACTCATTATATATCAGTATTTAAATCTATTACTTCTCTCCGGCCGACAGCTGTTTAAAATTTTGTTTAATTTCTGACAGCTGAATTTATCTGCGTCATTTCCTCAATACTTAATGTATGGCTTTTGTGCATGTAAGTTTTCTGAATATCCTGTTTAATTGACAACCATATATTAAATAGATTAGGTTTCATGTTTTTAAGATGATATCATAATTGATTTTCATTTTATTTTATTCATATTAAGAGTCAAGAAAATTCTGCTATTGTTTATTCCCAAACTACTATTTTAAAATTCTGAAGCTGGTCAAGTATATCACTTCAAAATCAGCGGCAGTTTTAAGATTCGTTCCAAAAAGAAATTTAGACTTGAAAGAAATGTCTGCCGTGCTCTATAAGTATTCAAACAAACTTAATAGCATTGCATACTAATCACTAATGCTTATGACAAGTTAAAGACAGGGGCGTATTTTTGAAATGAGATTTCTTAATAGCATGCAACTCAAACACGCTGTTCTGTTACCGAATTGGGGGGGGGAAGAGGGGAGTCTCAACATAATATTGCTCTTTTAGATTCGACTTCATAATAACAGTGGTGTAAATTTGGATGCACTACAGCGAAATGGATTCCCATGCATTGTAAGACTTCGGTTTTGTACGCCTTTGTGCATTATTTTGAGAGTATTTCACACCCCATTTATGATGTGTATTCAAATGAACAGATATAAAAGTTGACAAAAGCAGGAAATAAAATTAGTCAAGAAGGTGAGAAAATTAGCTTAACAATGGACCGAACTTGAATGTAGTACATATATAGGTCAGTCAAATATAAGACAAAATCCACTATAACTTAACGATAATAAAAACTAGGTAAATACAATTTTGCAGGTAGAAGCATTTTATCTTTTCCGCCTAATGCAAACTTAATTTTAATTTCTTGCTGCTGCAAGAAAACCACCTTGGATGATCAATACGAGACTCTAATCCTCAATGTGCAGTATACAAATTCCTCTACTAATCCGGGAATAATTCAACAACATCGATTCCCAGTAAGCTGCTACCAGTCTATGAGGGACAAGGTAATGAATCAAAGTAATGTGTATCGATGACTTAAGGGGTTTCGGAGTGGTGACTGCAACACCAGGATCAGCCACATTTAGGAAGGTAGGTACCGATGAAAACACTACCAGTCAGTGAGAAACACATCTAAAATGGCAGATGCATCACCGAGACAGATCTTCAGATAGATCGTGAAGCATACCGGTAATGTAAAATAATTTTATGTTAACGTTAACTCAACGATTGCAAAAGGTGTGCTCGCTGGGTTGCACGGCTTTTGACGAAGAAGATGATTTAAATCAAGAAGAATGTATCGGATGATGTTTTGCGAAGTTTCTGCTGGGATTGCCCAGAATGCATTTGTGGAGTCATCATGTATGCTAGCTATTTCATTTCGATCCTGAGAACAAAACCTACTTGATGGATTGGATGTACATTCGTGTCATGGACACGAAGACTGCAACATAATAAGCAAATTGACATATATTGTGTAACACTTCCGAAGGGCCAATACTTCTAGTGACAAAATTTTGTTTCTCTAATGTTTACCCTTACCGAAGTATAGTGGACTGGGAGTTATTTTTGATCGATCTATGAATAAAAAAACCGCCCAGATGGTATAGTGGTTAAGGGAAGCCTGATTACAATACCGAAGAGCCCAGGTTCAAATCACGAAGAAGGCATGGCTGGAAAATTGTCTGTCCCTTCATAGGAGGTAACGTTGGCCGCCTATTAGATGCCTCGATAATAAAATGGCCACCACTTCTGGCCTTAGGTGTGGTCAATTCTGTTATAGGCAAGTGCCCACTATTGAAAAAAAAATGTATAAAGAAATGCAAAAGAAAAAATCCAATCCCACCTATGTACAAATGTTAGACTTTTAATTGGACATAATAAGTTTCAATCGCATCATCAGAATAACAACTATTATGCTGACTGCTAACGTCTTAACAATGCTGCATCGAGCTAACAACCATTAACTCACGCCAATGTCTTATTGCTCAATACTAATATCGTAACTATTATGTCACTGCCATACTTTTGAAACTATGCCAGGTTTTTTTACATGAAAAATTCCTCAAGATTCTGTCCCTGGTAAGTATCGTTTGCACTGGAATGTGGAACATCTGTAAGCATTACTGGTCGGTGTGAACACTAACAAGAAAAAAAGAAGGGATAGAAATAATCAGTGGCTATGCAGTTAAAATATGTAATATTATTACTTTCGAATATGACTCTTAAATTTCAATTTTTTCCCCGATGGCGGAAGGAGAAAAGCAGAAACATTATTTTATATTTCGTTGGCTTAGGTATTTTCTACTCTTTCTATCCTAAAAACATGTGTTGTCATTACACCTATATTTAAAATTATATTTAAAGTTAAACTAACGTATTAATTTTTATTTTTATTACAGCTTCTATGAGCAACTTTCGAAAGATGTCGGATGCTAAAGTGACTACATTCGGCCTCCCGTATGATTATGCGTCTGTGCTGCATTATCATGATTCAGAATTCGCTATTGACCGCTCTCAAAAAACGATCGAACCTAAAAAGAAAGTGGTGGGAAAAGGCATTGGAAAAGCACTCAACCTTTCCGAAATGGATATTAAGAAGCTCAACAAACTGTACAGATGTTCAAATAAGAAACCTTTTGATATGGAAGATGATGATGGATCAGGATCGATAGATATTGAGGAAAATTATATCATTGTTTGAAACCTCAGATGGAAATTATGAATTGGCAAAGAAATTTCCAAAGAAATATAATCAATCTGAAATACAAGCAAAGCAATTATTTTCAAAATAAAATAATGTATCTCTTCTTGGCAGAATTCATATGACGTGAATTTCTGAATTCTATTGGAATTTATATATTTTTCCTCTTCATCTGCAGAAAATGTTAGTTCATCAGTGTTCTATGCATAAAAAATCATAAAATTAAATCATAAAAAATGTGTTACGTGTGAACATGTTACAATAATTTTATGTATTTTAAAGCTCTCAGAATTGAAATAAAAAGTTTTAAAACATTTGCTGAACTGGCTTTTAAAAATTAAGCACGCTACGATAAAATAAACAGAAATGGAAAAATAAAGTTTTGATAAACACCAAATTGAACATTATGGTAAAAATGTCTTAATGCAAATATTATGTAAAAAGATGAAAACAGTATTTAATGTTCGTAAATTATATGATGACGTCATACTTCGGTCATTAAAATTGATGTTCAAAATTAAAAATAAACAACCAAAATTTACATTAATAATGTAACCATACCGGACATTGACAAAACTTTACAGAGATTGCACTAATTATTTCTCCTCTAGGATAATTTTCGATTGTCTGAGACTGGTAAACGTGCGGAGACACCACGCCCGAAGGCATTTAGTCTTTAAAAGGATTAATGTCAGGAGATTGACGTCTGTGTTAAAGGTGTGGCTCGGTGGTTATCATCCATTAGGAGGAAACCAGAACTAATTGGTACAGCAACAGAATCTCACAACGGAGTATATAACTTCATCCTGATACCAATCTGCCGTCACAACGTTAGTTAGGAATGAACATCTGTGTGCGATATTCCAATAAAATTCCAGCTTGCACCATGATGTTGTCAAATCTGAATGAGTGATGTTCGATGATGTCTTGGGTCTGAATTCCGCGTACTTCACACTCTCCTGATCCTTGTACACTTATCCTCTGATTCCAGGACAAATTCGAACTCTTACATAAACAGGAAGGTTGCGCCAATTTGAGGTAGACAAACCGAGACGCTGATGACGCAATCTCGCCCCTCTAGAACGGGTAGTTAGTGGAACACAAACTCTTGACACTCAAGCATACAGTCCCTTCACGTGAAGCCTTCGAACCCACAGTATTGACAGATATTGTCTTACTAAGTGACGTTGTAACCATGGATGTAACAGTTGTGAAAGTCTCTCGTTGATTCAGCTTCGCTACTTTATACCGATCTTCAGAAGGAGTGGTAAACATCGGTCGACCAGGCACAGGTCTCCGGGCAATGCTTAGATTTGTTTGTAATATTTTTCCACATTCGAGAAATTATAGAATGATCAACGCCAAGAAAATAGCGACATCTTTGACTATTCTGCTTCAATGTGTCGGACAAGCTATCGTCATCTGTAATTCTTTTTCTTTCAGCCACAGAAAGAGAATATCATCAAAAATTATCTACGAAAGTTATGACTACATCAGCATTTAAATGAATCTACTCAAAGCCTTCAGAATGCTGTCTTCTTCAACGACTGCCCAGTTAGTACATGCTTGGACAGTCAATCGTGATTGCCTATAACATACGGTATTTCCATATTGCCGTCTGCATCTGTGGCGAATTTTAAGCACTCAAATTGAGTTATGCTTTCAGAAACCGCTAATGAGCAATACGTGCTTAATTTTTGGAAGCGTGAACAATTTAAATGTTTTTGGTGTACTGAAATCGACGTCTTGTGATTTAAGGATTTACAAATATTGCTTTTCAGTATTCGTTTTAAAATTATTTGAATGCATATCCTGATAAAAAATTATAAATGCGTAAAAGCAGTAATTTTTTGAAAGCTTTAGCCGTAGCTAATGACCATACGTGCTTAATTTTTGGAAGCGGAACATTTAAATGTTTTGGTGTACTGAATCGACGTCTTTGATTTAATGATTTACAAATATTGCTTTTCAGTATTCGTTTTAAAATTATTTGAATGCATATCCTGATAAAAAATTATAAATGCGTAAAAGCAGTAATTTGTTTTGAAATTAATCTTTAGGAGCTTTAGCCGTAGCAAATCTCATCTAATTTCTATCACAAAAGAAAAGCATTTTTAACCAACCATTATTAGGTTAAACTTAATTTCATTTAAGCTAAACGCTTGTTTACACATTCTAAAGATTGCGAACAAATTACCATCCACGTCTTTACTTCAAAATCCAAGAATATTAAGTATAATAATCTGATATTTTATTGCATTCTAAAACTTTTTACGAGAAAATGACATTTAGTTTTTTTTACCTTTCAGAATATTAGCATGAAAGAATTACCTTATTCATAGTTATCAAATTGTTTTTAGTCGGAAAATAATGCTATTGCAGTTTTGTAATTCATAAGTTCTGAAAATTTTTCTTTGCTTAAACAATGCTATAAAAACAAAAGTTCTGAATACGAAAATGCCTGGATATGATTCATAATGAGGCAAATCAATCAGGAAGCAAATTTTTACCATCTTCACGTTTACTTGTCTAATAACCACATTTAGCAACATCATAGTTGAGAGGTTATATTTTCTAACACTGTGAGTTAAAGCAAAATTAAGAAAGTGAATGCAATGGAATCTTCTTGAAGCTATTTCGAGAACCTTCTTGACAGAATTTCGATTTACTTAGTATAGCAAATTTTGGTGCACATTTTTCAAACCCTTATTTTCGTTGGATATTTTTGGGGAAAAATAAATTCCGGTAAATTTGACATGGAAAGTAAAATATTACTTACATTCGATAAATCATCTAAATGGAGGGGTGAACCAGATTATACAGGAAGAATGAATGGATACGACTGTGATTTCTAGAAGCTTAACCAAATTTAAGCTCCTGAAAATATAGTACAACCACACGATGCCTCACCCTTTAGAGTTGGAATTCGGACTGGATGCTTGCTGTACGGAACTACAGCTAAACATAAACCTAAACATAATACACAACGACCAAAAGTTTGAAGATATGTGCATATATGTCATGGAAGCATGGAAATAAATCTCACCAAAAATAGCTTCGAGAAATTTGAGATTTTCAATCCGTTTTGGAAAATTCGGATTATAGCTGCTTAATCTGGCAGAATGCCTGCAAATAAAATTATCCATGGGTCCGTGGCTTCAAGCACTAGAGAGAGAGAGAAAACATAATTTATATTTGAATTTAATACAAGAACTAGCAAAATGAATAATATTTAATGGCTTTTGTTTGCTTCTTAGGGAAATAAGTAGTAAGTTGTTAATTCAGTTAGATTTCGCCTTTTAAAATATTCAGATATGCGAAGAAAACGCACTGTTATATGCTGCCCTTTAAAGCACTGAATCCTCATAAAACCAATGTTATTGTTAATCAACATACTTTCTAAGAACTACCCAATAGGGATAGCGGTTAGTGACTCATACTACTGTAGACTACTGAAGAACTCGGATTCGAATTCCAGAGAAGACATGGGTGTTTGCAAATGTATAGTGGCTGTGCGGTATGGTGGCACTTAAAATATGCGGCAAGCCGAATATCCTCTCTTGCCAACGAAAGGCGCAATCTTGGCTCTATATTGTTCATAACTACAATGTTCATCTTCGCCTATACTGAAAGCAAAGGAACCTATTGAACTGTGTAGCGACTTACTGCTGAGTTAAACTGTATAACGACAAATTCCAGAGAAAGCTTAAAATACCCTTTTATTCACTCAAAGAAATAATACAGTTGGTCCCTTCTCTGGCTTGCAGGAAATCCTCCACTCGTGCTTTAAATCAAGATAAGAAAATAGGAAACTAACTTAACTAAACTGACGTAGCCGAAGGTAGACACGATTACCTAACGTAACTGGCCCTTAATTAAATTAGCTGGCGATTATCAACAGGCGCGTACAATACGGCCGAACGTAACTGGCTTAATAATGAAGTAGCCTGGCGGCAAACACGCGCCACAAAGGACTCCTAAGCTTTCCTACTGAAGTAAGTTGAACCTTCCTTAAATATTCCTTCTACCTCATTTACATGTAGCGCGATACTAAAAGTACTTCTGGTAGGGAGCTGTTAGTGAGAAATAAGAATTTAAAGGAAAGGATTTCAGAAATAACTGTTATAAAATTAACAAATAAAAATAACTGTTATAAAATTAGCACACACCTTACAACTCTTTGCACCGATGACTTTTGTGGGGTTTCTCTGATTCAAACAAGCGAGATTAATACCAACAACAACACTTTCTAAGAACAAATACCTACTTAACCAACATCCGAAAAATTGTCCTGTCTTTCTAGGCTTAGTTTTCGATTCGGAACAAAAATGAGACTAACGTGTTTTTCCTTTCTTATCCTCCTCCCCAAGGGAAAAGAAAGAAGAAATACACATGAGAATATAATATCTTTAGAAATATAAAAATATTATACCTGATGAGATTTATGCTACAGATTTCACACGCCTTTTTAAATGACAGCAGATTTACATATATTAAAATTCTAATATGTTGAGAGCATGAAAAAATATATTTAAACTCGTTTCACAGCTCCTGACTTTTTAATAGTATGAAACAACTATAAATCAAAATTTTAATATGACAGCTTTAATGATAATGCAATAACAAGAGTCGAGCCATTAAAAATTTGAATGACATACATAAGCATTCAATCACTAAGAAGAAACTGGAGAAATATAATCCAAAAATTATTTCCGCTATTAATCAGGATGTATCATTCTCTCTTCTCCTGCCAGCGAAAGTTAATTAAAGTACTGAGATAAAATAAAATAAGAGATACCGAAGATATTATATCTCGTTGCAAGTCTAGTGAAAAATAATATCAGCAAGGTTATCTGTATCGAATGCTATTTCCTTTTCTTTGTTTCGTGAGTTACGCGTTTTTAATGACTCTAGTGACTAGTTCACAGGAGAATGCTAAATCGCTTTCGAAATAAGAAATGAAGTAAGTTTTTAAAATTGTAATGAGGAAAAGCACGACCTTTAATGCAGGATGTTTTCTCACAATAGGCAAACCGGTCTTAAGTATCTCAAAAATATATTATTTTGTGATAATTTTTTTATTGCTTCATATTAAAGATTTGATAAGGCAAACACCCCGTTTAATGAGGGAAAGCCAGACCTTTAGTGCATGATTTTTTGTCACTAGGAAAAATAGTAGCCTTAAATATTTCAAAAACAGATTATTTTGTGATAATGTTTTATAGCTTTACATAAAAGATTTGGTAAGATTTTAGTTAGCAAAAGCCCCGTCAATCCAATTTACCATCACAGAACAATATCGGATATTTTAAAA